ACAAGACAACATATCAGCTACTAATACTTTCGACATAGAGTAGTGGTAATCGCAGTATCAAGCCGTCTGCTTTTCCTGTGTCTTCTCTAAAGTAGACAGAGAGATCTCAAGTACACTGAATATAGAAGAATGAGAAGACCCCATGTCACAAATGAGTAGATATAGAAAGTATGATCGTATGGTGGCAAGTGCACGTCAGCCAGCTCTTAAGGATATCCCCTCCCCCTCCTTTCCGGGATTTCTGGAGAACGGTTCATCAGAAAAATTTGAAACTTTCAGGATAGGTAGATCTTGGGGAGTAGAGTAAACGTTGTGCTAGACTCAAAGTTCCCAAATGCTGTCTTGTATGAGATATTGGGCTCACAATCGGTCAAAATGACCCAACTTTTTGCTCCCGTTTCTCTGGCTTATTAAGTTCGGCCAAGCTGAAACTTTTTTTTACAGGTACTAGACATTGTTTGAGGTGTGTAGTTTTTTTTTGGTTTTTCTTTATCTTTTGTCCTTCAAATAAAAAAGTCAAAATACCGAAGGCATCCTAAAAAATGCGTGTTTTTTTGAACAGTGCTTTTTGTAAGAGCTACCAAAAATCAAGGGTGCGATATTTTTGGAAACAAAAAGAAAATACGTACCCCAAACAGTGTCTAGTATATGTGAAAAAATTTCCGCTCAATCAGACTTACTACGCCGGAGAAACGGGAGCCTTTCTGCATTTTTGTACATGAAAAATTTGTTTCGAGAAAAACGTGAAACCAATTATAGTTTTCTCTATTTTCATTATGTAAACTTAATTTCTTCTGCAATATTTTATATGTTAAAGAGAATATCCGGGTCCTAAAATATAGTCAGTATATAGATACCGCTTAAGACTATACAATGGCTACAAAAAACCAAAAATCAAAAACCCAAAAATTTTGGATCAGGAAAGGGGGGAGTATCCTTAAGTAACAAAGGTAATAGTTGTGATACATGTGACTATTATGCAGATAACAATACCAAATATTTGAAAAAAATAAAACCAAAAACAATAAATTTGTGAACAGCGTTCTTGTAAAGATGTGCAAATATCCACAAAGTAATCATGAAACATTTTCGACTTATTCGTTTGAATAGATGCACGCATTAATGTCACAGGTTTATTATCTGCTTTCCATAGTTGTTATCTTTTACGGCAAATACCCACGACAGCAAAAGCCACTGATGAAAGCAAGCTAATATACTCGGCAGCTGTAAGAAAGTTGACAGTTACTAAAATTTCAAATGATGCATTGCGAAAAGGAGATTTTGATTCAAGAAAAAGAATCGATGCAGCATTTCGGTTTAAGAAGAAAAAAACCTTCAGTGATAAACTCAATCATGCACGCACACCATTTTTGTCATCCGCAGTTGACCTCGCCAGGATGAAACCGATAAATAGCAACAACATATCGATCTCATTCAATAGACTTATAACGAATATCATGAGATTATTTTGAACAAATGAATGAAATTTTATTAAACCATCTATTTATTGTCCAATTATACAGAATCCCATGAAATATGACTAAGTAGGAAATAATTTCTCCGATTTCAATAACAGAAAAAATGAGCATTTTTGTATTCTTTTGGTTGTTGTCAAAGTTTTCATTAATGCAGCTATTGATATACCAAATAAAACGAAGAAACATTTTCTCTTCTGCTCTGTGTTCAAGTTTGCTATTTGCGTTCGTGCATAGACAAATATTTCGTCGGCTAATTTGATTAATGAAAGTAAAATTGAAAGTAATTTATAAGTATATCTTTCACATATGCGACGGGCTATAATATGTTCGAAAAGATCAACAATCAAGTATAATAATATATTGCAAGTATTATTCATGCATTAAATCCTTTCTTTTCTTCCACACAAAAGAAAAAGACAAAGTATCTTTTAGGAAAAAAATCTACTTTAATCATAGTGGAGAAATCTCTCTATGTGTACCATAGCTGGTAGGGGTCAACGTTCTCGCCAAATAATTTAACACTGACATGCAATAGTGCTTCACAAATGCAAAATTCATTGTACTCACTTTCATATTCAATGACGATATTTTATCAAAGGAACTGTATATCGAATAGTCTTTTGCAGTCTCCAACAAAGATCATAATATCGAAGTCCGGTAAGTTCAAAAGCAGAAATACACAAAGATCCAAATTGGTAGATCGATATGTGCCATATTCTTTGATTAATTAGAAGGTTTTCCAATTTACGTGTCTCAAAATACAAGCGCCGTTCATTAGACATCGATTCGTTCCAGTGGCGGGCCAGAACCAAAATATTTCGTGTAGCAATAGTATTCTTTTGCTGTGGCAATCGTATGAAAAGTCGTTTTCCTGAATGTTTTTTGTCCAAGTATCGATTATTTTGAACTTTTTTGATGTGGCAATTGCCACATTTCGCCACCACATCTGTTCGTCAATGGTTCATTCGGTTTTATAGTCCAGGTTTTGAGAGCTCTTATTCTATGAACTCGTGTATGATTTATGTATTCATATAAGTGACACTTTGAATGTCGCTTTAAGTTAAGATTGAATTGCACGAAGTGTTTCAATCAATATCAATTCTATACTTCTGAATTTTCTTTTTGTTCGGACAAACCCAATTCGACATACAAGAGTGTTTTCACTCTAAATCATAATATAGAGATATATTTTTCGTCGGACTGTTAATATCGATACTATCACACTGTCTCAACTTATTCGATGAATCCTTCGAGCAACATTGCTTATGTAGTCTACAAATATATTCCTTAGGCTTGACTTTGAGTCTTACTTTTGTTGGTCAGTCAGTCGGAATTGATTGCGTGCATGATTTCTGTTTCGTGATGGATGTGGGTGTGAATGTGAATTTCTCCTTACTGGCACTTACATCCACACCCTTTTTTGCCAATAGCTGGTGGCACCTATCAAACATTCGATAAGTTTATGTAGTCTGTAGGAATTAGTATAGTATACGATTGCAATGGAACTTTATTGTGCTACTTCGACAATGACAATAAATAGAAAGTTCGAATTCAGAGAGAAGTTAAATGCTATATTGCACTCGATTATCTGAGAGGGAGCGGGAGGAGAATAAATATCTCTCACAACAGCTGTGATAAAGTCTAAAATATGAGAGTTAAATGCCGCAAATCAGAATATCTTAATTTTTCTGTATAACGTGAACACATTAATTATTTGAGACTAGAGAGTACAACAGCATGAGTTAGTAATATCTAGATTGAATTGAAGATGTAATATCAACAAAACTAGTAAATACACAGAAAATAAAAAGCATATATGCGTATTGATTAGTTTGAAGGGGTCTTCATCAACCAAATACAATAGATGTTAATTTTGTACTGCTTTCAAGAATTGTTTTTAAAGGAAAGAAATCAAATGATATATAAAATAATAATATTGTTTTTAACAATCAATGATCGAAAGTGATACGGTAATTGATAAATTTATTCAAGTTGAAATACTTACACCAAAGCAACCATTTGGTCTTCTGGTATCCTTTCGTGTGCGGTTGAAAAAGCATCATCAATCACTGTTATATATATTTAAAAGATCATAAACTCGATCCATCAAATTGAACAACCAATAAATAACTATATTTGTTCTGCACAACATAGAAATCAACCGAACTGCTTACATGTTCATAGGAATACTGGATGAGCAATACAATCATTTAATTTTTAAAGTAAGTACACATTTTATTGATGTATATTTATAAGATGCAGTTGTTAATTGTTTATAAGAAAAATAAAAACAATTCAATTGCTCTTCAAGTACATACTCATCAAACTATTTTTGTATATACACTGTTACGTAGCATTGATTTTCTTCATGACAAGACATAACCAACTCAAGATCTAGTAGTTTTCATAGATTTGAGTCGTATTCAAAAAGATACAGAAAAACATTTCACAGCATGTTTTTCATTAAGATTCAGAGCGAACACAATTCATAAAATTTAGAATCGAAGTCGTGCACTGTTATTGACTAATCTAAACAACCAAAAACCAAAATATAAAGGGTGTCTCATAAGTTCTGGGCATCAACAAATATTAATTTATATGTAAACAAATAGTGATCGGTACCCAACTATATCTATATGAACTTCGAGTACTTAAGACGCTATTTTAAATGGCATATTATCAGATGCCATTATCTCTTTTAATAATAGTGATGTAAATATAATAAGCATGATAATCAGAATCTCCAAATCGACCAGTATTTTTTTCCACGATCAAAAACCAAACATAGTCTATTTGATAGAATCACGTATTAATCGGAGAATAAAAAAATATATTATTTAACTATCATATATTTGTTTTCTATCACTATTTATCAGTTTTCGAAGTCTAGTAGGCTTCTTGAAAAAAATACTGGTCGATTTGGAGATTCTGTTTATCATGCTCTTTATATTTATATCACTATTATTAAAAGAGATAATGTCATCTGATAATATGCTATTTAAAAGAGCGTCTTAAGTACTCGAAGTTCATATTGATATAGTTGGGTACGAATCACTGTTTGTTTACATATAAACTAATTTTTGTCGAGGTCAAGAACTTATGGGACACCCTTTATATGACATAGGTTGTCTTAATCTTTTCTATTATCATACAGAACAAATGATATTGACTATTTCACAGAATGTCCGTTCTGCACAAGCTTTGATTTGTTATATCTTCATATTTTTCACAGAGGAAAACCACTTTTTTTTTGAACTATTAACTGTAACAGTTTTTTGTTACTTAATCAAAACAAAGAAATATTTGCATTTGATCAAAGAAATAAAGCAAAAAAAAAAAGAAGATTAAAACATATGAACAAAGCACCAAGCGCGCATTTACGAAAGAGCGAGAGAATAATTCATTATACACATAGCACAATTGATAATAAATAAAACGAAACAAAAACAAAACATTTGACTGAGCCATAGAAATACGAAAAAGAAATTGAATATACCATCCATTTGCTCAAAACAATGTTAGTTAATGTCTCAATCGAAGAAATGGGTCTATTGTTCCATTGAGTAATGTATTATCGATTTGACTATCGAATATAAATCGACTACATCGTTCACGTTTGAAAAAGTTATTACCATTATTCATATATTGAGCATAACGACGGCGAAGTATAGGATTTAGTGATAAGAGACGAAGTGTATCAAAGAACATTTGATGCGACGGATAAAGTTCAGAGATGAGTTTCAAGTAGGGTCCATCTGAACTTTGACGAAATGTACAAGAAAGATTATCCACCGTGATATTCCACTGAAAAAAAAAATTAATTTAATTTTAAAGAGTATTAACTTTAGAATATATTGACATACTTTTGGCACTATTTGTCCTCGTTCATTCATGCATAACCATATGCCAGATGCATGATTTTGAATTTGAACACGACTATAGGCACCGACTGATCGAAAGGCAAAAATAGCTATAAATAATTTTATTTAAAAATATTTGGAAGCTTCAATTAAAAAGAAACTATTTACTTGAAGGATCTTGTCGATTTTGGACAACAGTACGATAAGGTTTTGTTTTAGAAAATCGAAGATAGAGAGATCCAGGTAAAATATTACAATGGAAGACAATTCGACAGTAACGTAATGTTGCCAATTGAGAACCTTCTGGTTGTCGATGCAAAAAACTGACTAATGATGGTCGATAATGATGATCTTCGTCTAGTTTATATTGAATATAGGACAATAAATGCTCTTGTTCAACAGGTAATGTCGGTGCAGACAAGGAGAATAGTGGCTACATAAGAAAATAAAATAAAACACAGATTACGAGTTTGATTTGAAAGTACTAAACGAACTTAAGTAAAAAAACAAAAAAAAAAAATTACTATTCATTAAAAGTAATCAATTATTTTGTCTATTAGCTTTTTATATCATTGATTTTTCCACTAATTATCAAGAGATATTTTCATTAACATTTTTCAATTCTTTACTTATATTATGTTATATTTCTTTTTTTTTGTGCGTAATATGTTTTACATTCTTTTTCTTTCTGCCATTTTTTTCGATGATTCGTAATCATCATTATCAAGACTAAACGCCCATTACATTTGCATAAGCATGATGCAACTCTTTTTTTTTTTCGTTTAGTGTAACAAATGGAACTAGTTGAGAACAATTGAATGATATATGAACTTTTTTTATACTAATAAATTCCATCGATGAATAAACGATTGAGAAATATTCAGAGTAAAATTACCTTGCTGATGTAACTTAAATCTTATGAAGTACTTATTACCATTGATATCATAATATGTTGTTTACGATCGTCATCATTCTGTTTCGATCATCAATAATCAAGTAAAGAACAAGAAAAATACGACTGCTTTCATGAAAGTCATTTTTTTACTGTCTTAAAACAACAACATCAATAATGTCATCATATTGTATGCATTCAAAACATTTTCCTGTTACTTGTGAATACCACATATTCAGAGAACGAGTAATGCATACAAACATGCACACATTCTTCGCATAGTATTCTTAGTCGTCAAATCACACCTGTGTTGTCATTGTTGTTGCTGCTGATGCTATTTCTATGCACACAAAAGGCAATTAAATGCAAACAAACGTTGTCAACAAACAAAATATATTTGATAATCCCTTATTGTCAATGTATTTGAATGTTACAAGAACAAGAAAAAAAATAACAAAAAAAAAATGGATGAATATGGAACAAAAGCTAGTTATCAATCAAAAGATTGAACATTATTATCATAATAATAGTAATGATGAAAAAGATAGAATAGACATACATTCAAACACACACATATTGAGATGCTTAACGAATATGAATGACAATAACGACACTTCATTATCATCATTATGATCATTGTTATAATCAAACCTTGACACAATCTAATATACTATCTTATGATATATGTAGTCGATGAAAAGTAAAACATAATTTTTGGATTTTAGGTTTTCTTCTAGTAGAATATCAATAGAAGGTTTTTTTTGTCCTTTTTTTAAAGCATTACTTTTACGAAAAAAATAATTAAATAGAGTATGTACGTTTATCAGTCGATTGTATTCATTGATAATGATTTTTACCAAACTTTAATTCAAATATTTGTGTTCTACTACTCAAATATCATGATATACTTTAACCTGAATGTTAAGAAGAAAAATCTATTAAATACAATATCAGAAATAAAAAAACGAGGTAAATAGTTATGTTTTTCTGTTATTATCAAGTGTACAAAACTAAAAGCTATAAAACAACTTATTCATTAATAATTTATTTCAATATTCATTCATCAAGAGTAGTATAGAACTTTTATCACGTATAAAAGTAGGCTTACCAAACGTCCTGAATTTCAGAAATATGAACTCGAAATTATGCATCACTCTTATGTGAACTGTTGAAGATCATATTCTGATATGTTATCGTACACATGATGTCTCCTTAAAAATAAATGGTAGTCTCCAAATTAGGTCGAGTTCGTGTGCAGCGAGCCAAAAAAAAACAAGAACTCTCATAAATCAACAACAAAAACAAACTAATAAAAAGATCAAAATGCTATCTTGCTATCTGGAAATTTTTCTTACCACAGTTGAAAGACTGGCAGCTAATATGAACAGAAAAATCACTCTTCTTGCCATCCATTCGTCAAAGCGATTTGAAATAGCATTATTATAATTGTAATAGTGATAACTGATCAGTTGATATTGGAATAGGAGACAAGCAAATAAGAAAATAAAACATGATCGATATAAATACAACCTTACATAATCCCAGGGCCACAATAATACACAATCGAGGCTAAAAGAGATGCAAATCTTTGATCAGAAAATGTGTCATAACGAACATATAGTAAGAGAGAAGAGGATTTACGTGTGTCTTTTGCTATTTATAAAAAAAAGAGTCGTATAGAATAAAAGAGAGAATCAAACAAGAAAATTACATACACTCTCTCTTCTCGTCATCGTTCTCTTTTCGTACGTACACACACGCTTGTTCTTTCTTTTTTCTCCAATTTCTTTAGTATTTCACCTAGTACATTAGCAGTAGGTGAGGAAGACAAAGAGAGTAAAGAAGAGTAATAGAGACACGATATGATGTACTGTCTCTCTTGTTCAATTGATTTTCGTTGGTAATATTCGATGAGAAATATATCGATTGATAAGTGTAAACGAATGAAGAGCTAGAAAGTGTGAAATCAATCGTTATCACAATATATTTTGATTGAACGAATGACACACTCACATATACATACATTTTCCCTTGATAACCAAATGCAAAAACATTGCATTTACATACAGAAAAGCGATGACATTATTGATGATAATGAAAATTTTCAAAAAAAAAACGATAATGATGACATAATCAATTCATCAGCCAGACAAATATAGTCCTCTTCTTTTATCAAATTTCTATCGTTGTCTTTGACTATATCTAGATATTTGTTTGCTCTGTCTATATGCATCTCAAGTAAGATAATTATGATCAGTCCAAATGAAGAGTTCTTCAACCCTGAACTTGGCCATCATGCATACCACTTTACACAACGATATACGTTATATTTGATCCTTCAAAAGATAGCAATATGGATATGCTTTCAACTAATTGAATACGAGACAATAGTTCTATTTCATTTTTCTTTTCGATTACTTTATCACATATGTATAACTATTTCATTGTTCGATTACCAAATCAATAAAAGCACGTATATAAAAAAAAATGAAAAGTATGCAAAGAGGAACTGATTCATTTATTTATGATGGTATAATAATACACACCTATCATAATTCAAGAGACTAGTAGGCGTCAAGTTAGAAATTGATGGGGCGTACTATTAACATTTTCCTATTTAAAGGCAATCAGAACTAGATGAACAACTTTATTATATTAATGAAAAGTGACAAGACTCTATACATACATGACGAGTAACTATACAAAGTAATAGTAGAAATAACATTCGAATATTTCATTTTTATTATAGCGTGACTTTTATTAATTTTACGAAGGAAAAGTATGTTAACGAAATAACAACAACTAGGTAAAAAAAAAAAGAAAAATAATTAAAGAATTACGTTTTATTTTATTTATATATATATATATAAGTGTAAAAAAGCAAATATTATTATTTGTTTTTGTGCCGTAAATATGAATAAAATGTGTTTCGGAAGATTAAGTTCGATTAGAAAATATTTTTTATGTACGTTATAAATTCACATGATCGTACATTGCTTCTCAAATATGTTTTTATCACGGAAGCCATACCTATACGTTATCCAGGCCAGTAAATTGGGCAAAGAAAAAAGATCAACAAGTGCACATCTTGGTGCTTTGCTTTGTATTCTTCATTCATAAATGCTATATGTAGTATTCTCATCATGAGTGCTTTCAACTACTGATGAAAAGAAAGAATGAAGAGAGAAAGAGATCATAGAAGTTCAATCCGATAGTTTCAATTGCATGTACTGATTTTTCTTTTTCTATTGTTATAGACACAAGAAATAAAAGTAGTTGGCAGTGTTGATGAGAATATTGATCCATTTGAGCGTAATTGAAAATATTTAAATGATAGATATTTACAATAAGTATAATAATCTTTTTCTTTTTTGAACAGTAGCGATAAATGATTTAGGCAAAAAAAAAATAAAAGGAATCATTCGATTGCTATCATAATTGTTAGATTTGTGATCTTATAAATTTTATAGTCTTTGATGATTCATAATCGTATTATACGCTATGTTCTAGCTGACAGAGATAATGAATTTGTTATTAATTCATTCGGTACATATTATTGTGTTATTGATAAACATGATAAACATATTTAACTTCTTCCTTTTCCTGTAAAAAAAATACTCATCAAATAATTGTTTTTGTTGTTTTTATTGTCAAAGAAACATTGATATATGTTATCATAAATAAAACCAAATTGTCCAATTTTAATAGAAACACAGAATAATCAATATATTCACTGAATTCTTAATAATTATGACGTGAAACATCAAGAGACATAATTCAACATAGCAAAGTACTTCACAGCAGGATCGAGTCCTTTTACACTTTCATTCAAGTATCACTGATTATTCATATAATGAAGATATTACCTTATTGATTAAGATAAAAACGATTCGGATCTAATTTCATATCGATTGATTTATTCATTGCATAGTCATTGAAAAATTGTGAATTGAACGATAAGAAAAATAAAATTCATTAGATGAATCTTGTGTAATATAATAATGTTAAAATACTTAGTATTTTATCAAGGTGTTCTTTCAAATCATATCAAACATCAAATATAAAAAAAGAAAAGAAACAAAGAACCTAGTCGATAATGATTTATAGAAGAATTGTCCTTGCTTTAGTCTTTATCATCACAAGAACAATTAAAGTTTGTCATTTTTATGAATCAAACAATGTCGATAAACTTTTATTAAGATAGAATAGATTTCACTTTTTTTTCTTGTTCTTTATTCGTACAAATAAAAGTTCGAGTTTTTTTCCAAATAAATCAGCACAAAGGAATCAACACGAACATTTTTATAAACGAAAAGGAAAAAAAGAATTAAATTTTCGATCTGGAATAGATGTACGTGTTTACATTAAGCTGAAATAATATAGAGAAAAAAAAAACTACACAGAAAAACAATGAAAGAACGCATGTTTATGTGAACCCATTATCTCTACAACATAAATTTCAATGATATTCAAAAATCGACTAATATTTTATCTTAAATGCACAAAAATAGATAATAAATGAGAATAAAATATGCTGGATTAAATAGAGTAAAATCTAAAGACTAGTTTTTTAGAGACCGGCTGTATGCATTGCATAAACTATTTTTTCAACAATGTACTAAATGAAAAAAAAAACATTTGAAAGAAAAAGAAAATAAACAAAAGAAACTTTACTCGAGCCTCAGATGTGTTTCGACATTGAATCATTTTACCATAAGAAAGAGCTGATCTTATTGTTCCTGTTTTCTGTGGTTCCTAAAAAATATAAACAAATCAATTATGTTTTTCATCATGTTCGTTTTATTAAATTACTTTTGTAAGAATTTGTATTTGACCTGAATTTGGTTTTACAATTGGCTCTTCTTTTAATTCTTCATATGAAATTTCCCAATCAATTTCATATAAGCCAAGAAATGAAATTTCCGTTATAAATAATAAACGCCTAAAATGAAATGATTTATTTTAATACAAATCATAAATCATCAATGTTTTGCCTCGATGTTGCCATTAACCAAGATACTGGATGTTCCGAACAAGTAATATGTGCAACATAAGTATCCGATTTTGCATATTTTCCTTCTTTTAATCTCTACGATATGACAAAAATAAAAGAATAAGAATTTTGTCATAAAGAAAAATAAATTTACATTTAAAATGAAAAATCCCATAGCTTCATGAGAAATATAAGGTCGAACAAGACCATCACGAGCAATATGACGTGGATAACGAATACGATGTACTAATTCTTCTTGTTGTGCAGTTCTAAATTATTCGAAAATTTAATAAATCAAAATACAATAACTTTTTGGTTTTTTTTACCGTTTAATTAAATCTAATGAAGTACTTGTAAAATCAACAATGCCACCTGTTGGTCTTGTTACAAGACCCATAAAACCTTTTCCTAAACCTTTAACAAAACCAGAAGCACCACTTTCTTTTGCACCTGATACTGGTTTAGTTATAACTCCTTTAACACCCTCAACAAAACCCTTTACAATAAAATAAATTAAAAATAAAAACAAAATTTCAAACCAAAGAAACTACTTTCAACATACCATAACAACATTTTTTCCTTCAACAGCAATCTCAGTTCTTCCTTTAACTGATGGTTCTTGTCGCCTCATACGTGAAACTTTATAATCTTCATCAAAAGTTAATGTTGCTAGACCTTTTCCAAGTACGCCAGTTATTTTTGAAAAAGCACCAGCAGCACCACCAACAGCGGAACCAAATAATGTTCGAACACCAGTTGCAACACCTTCAGCAAACTCCATTGGGCCTTCAATTGCACCCTGAAAAATAAAGCAACAAGAAATATATAAACATTAATTCATATTATTCATTTTACTTTATATGGTTCATAAAAAAATGATTCAACACCTTGAGCAAGACCACGAAGAACACCAATGGGATTTCCAAGTACATCAAGACCAAATACAAGTACATGAAGTTGTTTCATAAATTGATTTTGATAATGAGATGAAACTTCATTTGTTAGTCTTGTTGTTGTATATCGATCATGTGTACGTTCATAATAACCCAAACTATACGTTATAAAATTCTTTGTGAGATTCTTAGAGGATTACAATATGAAGTAGATTCGTGTAAATAGTATCTTCAAAGATATACTTTCGAATTCTAACTCTTAGTTCTATTTTAGAATCATTTCAAGGATTTCAGAATAGAAGAAGTCTAACTTTCTAATTTTAGAACTTAACTTTAATTAAGAATTATTTTTCATAAAGTACTCCGATTCAATGAATCCTACCGTAAGATAACATCTTGTACTTCAGCAACATTTAATGTTCGTAATAAAAATCCAAATACTGGATATTCAGCAAGTAGTGCTTCACTTGGTTTTGATCCATGCATTGAAAAACTAACATGAATCTAGATAAAAATTTTTTAT